GGCTTCCGAAATTTGAAATTTATTAATAAAATTGACTATTTTTAAACACTATCAGCTCCCCAAAAAATTAAGCAATTAAAAAATTTAATCTGTGGAATTGAAAGAGAATCAATTAAAGTAATATTTGCACCGTTTATTTTTTAAAAATTTTTAAAATTGGTGGACTAGATACAGTTAGAAGTCACATGAAAATTTTTGATGAGTATAGGTGATACGCACCATATTAATAATAGATCCATTGAAACGAGGTTTGACTGTACTTGTAAAACGTGATTTTTTATTTTTTACAATTGACCAATAACATTTGACAATGAAATCAAATGTCCAGAATTTCTTTTTTTTTTCGAGTATGTTTAAAATACAGAGATTTGATTTTGATAATACTTCTGTAAATGTCCTTGAAAATTCAAAAAATCGTCTTGAGCAAATAAATGGAAAGGTTATTTTAAAAAGAAAACGAATTTCAAAAGAACTTCTGACAAATGGTAATAGCACCAAAAAAACCCCATTTTCACAACAAAAATTAAAAGATAATTATAATAGTGATATATCAAAAAATAAGGAAAAAGAAAAAATATCAGTATTACAAGCTTTCCCATGTTTTCATCAACAAAAGTTGACTCCTGAAGAAATTTCATCTTCAAAAATGTTGGGAATACCAGATTGGTTGGCAAATCCTACCATTATTAATTCGTCTTCAGTCTATTCAATTGATGACAATAATTCATTAGGCTTATCAGAAAGATTAATAAATCATTGTAAATCATTAGGGATCACGGAATTTTTTGCAGGTACTATTATTGTTATTTGCATAAAGATAATTCTTCAATTGAATACATGTATGCATCCCATTAATTCTATTGATTTTATTAATTAGTACAAGCATCAGTTATTCCACTATTATTGAGAAATAAAAATTTATATGATTTACATAAATCATTTGGTGATATATGTGTTTCTGCTCCAACTGGAAGTGGAAAAACTCTTACATATGTTTTAACAATAATTGAAGTTTGTTTATATTATTATTGGATTATTATTGAATTACCAATTACTTATTAATATACAATAAATCAATAATAATATCATTATTAGATTCTTTCAAAACGTATTGTAACACGTTTAAGAGCCTTAATAGTTTTACCAACAAAAGATTTAGCTATGCAAGTAAAAGAAACATTTGAAGCATTTTGTAAGAATACAAATTTAAAGGTTGGCATTATGGAAAAAAATTTTTAAACTTAATAATTAAATAACTCAAAACCTAATATAATGTCAATTGATTTAATTGAATGGGTGGTTTTTTAAAGATTGGTGTAATAACAGGCCAGCATTCATTTGCTCATGAACAAGAACAAATTGTTGGAAATTCCAAAGAAATGTAAAAGAATATAAACACATACATTTATTTATTCTTTTTTTTTCCAAAAAAGTGAATTATAATAAATTTTTTTAACAAATAGCTTAATAGGAGGTAACAGCAAAGTCGATATTTTGATTGCAACCCCAGGAAGATTAATTGAACATATTATGAATTCATCAAATTTCACATTACAACATTTAAGATTTTTGGTAGAGTAGAAAATCATTTATTATCATTATCATTATCATTATCATTATTATTGCAATGTGATATTACAAGTATTATTTATTATTAATATTATCATTGTATAATTTATTTAAAACCCCTCTTTTCCTCCCCTTTTTTTCAAAAGGTTATTGATGAAGCTGACCGTTTACTTAATCAAAGTTATAATAATTGGTTAACTTTTGTTCTTAAATCAAAAAATAATTTGAAAAACTTAAATATTAACAAAGTAAATGAGGTTGACAAAATAAAAGAATTAAATGATTCTGTCTCAATGTCAATCTTTGAAGATGTGTTTTCAATTCCCAAATCCACTATTACAGAAAAAAAAACATCTCCGGTAAATATTCAATTTTTAAAATTTTTTTTTATTGGAAAAATTTAACTTTACCATTTGCATATTAGATGCAAAAACTTTTATTTTCTGCAACACTTACACGAAATCCAGAAAAGATAGCAAATTTACACTTGATAAATCCAAAATATATTTCAATAATGTCAATTGAAGAAAATGAAGCTGGACTGAATAAATATTCTTTACCAAAAAATTTAAATGTAAATATTTTCATCAATCCCTTTATTAAATATTTTGTAAACTAAAAAATATTAATAAATGTATGCATAATTGGTTTAATTAACAGGAATATATGATAATCACATTTTCATCACTTAAACCTCTAATAGTTATACATTTGATAAACAATCAAAAAATATCTTCAGCTCTTTGTTTTACTAAATCTGTTGATTCAGCTCATAGACTCAATAAATTAATTGAATTATTTCAGGAAATTTATTTAAATGAAAATAATAAGAAAATTAGTTCTAATATCATTTCAAAAGAATATTCAAGTGACTTATCACAAGATGAAAGGAAAAAATTACTAAAAAAATTTAAAAATGGAGAAATTAAAATGTAAGCACATAATCATAATCATAATCTTAATAATCACAATCATCATCAAAAAATTAACTTCTTAACTTCATTATATTTTAGACTTATATGTTCAGATTTAATTTCTCGTGGTATTGATATAGATTGTGTTGATACAGTTATTAATTATGATGTTCCTATTTATATGAAAAAATATATACATCGTGTTGGTAGAACAGCTCGTGCAGGAAGACAAGGTGATGCTTATAGTCTGGTGGAAACACATGAGGTATTTTAGTATGTTATTAATATATCTATTAGTTTTAAACTTAAAATTACATATTAATAATAAATTTCAAGGCCAAACATTTTAAGGAAATGCTTAAAAGATCAGGACATTTAAAAAATGTTAAGAAATTTGATATTAAATCAACTGCTTTGGATCCTATGATGACAGCTTATCAGGTAATAAACAAACAAACATATATGTATATGTTTATTTATATTTACGAACATAATATTTAATAACAATCAATTTGATTGGTTTTATAGAAGGCTTTAGATTTGTTCAAAGAGTATATGTCAAGTTATAAATTATCTGTAACAAATTATCATAGAACCATGACTTCTAATTCAATTAATAATATTTAAACATTTTGAATAAAATTTATTAGTTGCTTAATAAATCACATCTCTATTTATACCTATAGGCATTGAGTTGATGTTGAACACCCAATCCTTTGGCTTTGATTTGAATTTTTTCTCTTTTTATGTTCATAAAATTCTTGACTCTTTATCTTACATTTCTCCTCTAATTCACAGCTTTATATTTCCATCCAACTTCTTTAGATAAATGTGAAATTACAACCTGGTTTCAACTTCCAAACTTAAACACTATATATTTAATTAATTAATTAACACAAAAAAGAAATGAAACATTTGCCGTGTCATGACCACCTACCAAAAGCAGTAAGGTGAGTGACCTTCATGCAGATTTCTCACCGATTGTCTCCTTTTGTGTTTAGCCGTGCTTGGTTTTTTCAGCTTTTGGCATGATCAACATTTTCACCATATTTGGCGAAAATTGTGTCGTACTGCAAATGTTTCGTTTCTTAATAGATTCAATTGCAAGTGTTGCATGCAATGCTTTGCAAGGTGAGGAGAGGCATGATCAATGAACCAGCAAAATTCTATCTTTTTCAAACCTAATTTTTTGGGAAAGAATTTTTTGTT